TTAGTAAATATGCAGATATAAAAGTCATCTTCCTCTTTACTTCTCCACTGTGCTATATCTTAGAATGGTTGAGAAATGCACTCTATTGTTCAGGCTATTTGTGCCGGGTGTGCTAATGCACTCTTTGATTGAGTGAATTAGCAGTCATAACAATCTGGCAGTCTGGCCATAGAAGTGTGCTCAAATTGATTTGTGTTATGGCTGGACTGGAAAATCTAGTGTTAGTTGTTTTTTGCCCTGGGGCATTGTTTGTACCAAACTCTACTTTTCATTTAATTTTCCAATACATTTTGAAAGATTGAAATGCTTGTGATCAACATTAGATCCACTTGCATTATTTAAAAAAAAAATTCTGAAAGTAATTTCAGATTCCAAAAAAAAAAAAACCCCAAAAAACCAACCTTGCTTTCAATTAGAGTAAACATAATTAGAGTGACGTCGTGCTTGGAATGGCAAATCTCCCCTTGAATCTATTAAGCATGTTATCTCCTTGTCCTGTCACTAGAAGGAATTGAGTATATATCTGGAGGACACATCTGTATTTTTCTGTGTGTTCTTCTTATCGTATTTGGAAGAAATGAAAAGAATCCGATTGTAATGCATCTTTCCTTTTTTTCTGCTTTTTACATGCAACCACATTGCTTATGCTTTTCTTAGTGATGCCATAAGAAGAGGATGCTTTGAGCCTGTTAGGACAATTAGAGATCTGCAAGGAACACATTCAGATGTATGCTGCCTTTAGCTTACTCAACCACTTCAGCATTTGATATGCTGCGAAACACACTTTCATTTTTTAAAAAATAACTATATCAACTGATGTGCTGAAACTCTGAGGATCTGAAGCCATGACTTATCCTGGCTTTGTCAATATTTGTATCTTTCTTAGACTCTTCTGCTTTGCAGTCGTTTACTAGAATCATAATGCAGCCTGAATAAACCCCAAAAATGACTATTGATTACAGAGAAAGCTTTGCGAAATCATTTAGTCAGTTTCCCCACTTGAGAAATCAGTGAATATAATAGGTCAATAGATAAGGACTGAATGGATGCAATATGGTGCTCTGCTTCCCTGGGCTTCAGAAAGGGCCAAACATAAATCCCCATAGAATTCATGTCTTTATATATTCATAGAGTAAAATAATACTTACCAAATCCTCACTGTAAGTTTATCTTTCTACAGATTTATTTTCTCTTTTAAAACCATGGGCTTAGAACGCCTGCTTCAGTGTCCCTGGCTTACTTCCCTGTCACCGCCCCTTTTAAACCAAACAAGATGCCCTCCTGCCGCTAAAGTCTGCTGTCATCCAGGTATTCACCGGACTTCAGATGCGCCAACTACTTTGTGTTTTCCCACTGTCTCCTGCAACCTTTCAGCTCTTCTCAAAACTGCCTGCCGTCGTACTGCACTGAACTCTGCATCCTGTGCCAGTTTTTAGGTAATGGACCTGAGACCTGTCTATGAGCTCCCAATCCGTGAGGACGTGGATCCTGTCAGGGGAGAAGGGCAGAGGAGGAAAGGGAGAGGAGGGGCCAGAAGGGGGCAGAGAGACGGAAGAAAATACCTTCCCTGAACTAGTACAAGCTAAGCTTCAAACGATATCCTAGGAAAGAAATTAAAGACTTCTTAATTAGTGCAGCAATTAAGCTTTCTTGGTAGCATTTTAATCAGCACAGGCCCTATCAAAGGACAAACAGAACGATTTGCAGGTCTTTGAATTTTAAACAGTCTTATTGATTTCAGCACAATACGTCTTCACAAAACACAGGGAGAATTTTCTAATATCAGTTACAGTACTTTGAGTTTTACTTATGCAAATTCAGTGAAGGTGGAGGAAGATGAGACGGAGGAAGAGAACTTGAAACGACCAGAGATGTAAAACAATAAACAAACAAGATCAAAGCTCTGAAAGCTGGAGATGCACTGCAGTGACCATGTAGAATTTCTCTAAACTGACCCCCCCCCCCCGCTATTGGTAAATACTGTTTGCCTTAATCCTGGTCAACACTTCTCAATGGGGGTCAGGATAGGGGAGGAAAAGAGAGAAATAGAGGGAGGGAGGGACGGAAGGATGGAGAGAAAGAGAGAGAGAGGGAGAGAGAGAGAGAGAGACCTTAACATTTTTCAAGGCTTTTCTTTCCTAGATATTTTAATTTGCATTATACGCTTTTTCTAATCCTATTGTTTGATCAAAGGGGTAAGTGGTGGTTCCTTGAAACGGTTTAGAGACCCGAATCCCAGAAAGGTCCTATTCAAGTGGGGTCAAATGCCCCCCAGCTCTGTCTCTGGGCAGAACACGTGCTCCGGAGATGCAGGTTTTCCTGCAGCAGAAAATTCAGAGCTGGCTTGGAAGCAGAGTGGAGTTATGGCTCGGTCTGCTAGCATTGTTTCCTGTCTGTGGCTTCCGAATGTGGCAAGTATTGAGTGAGTGATAGGTTAAGGAAATGTGAGGAGGGAGATTGGTAAGGGCAATTTTGGGGCATTTATTCCCCACCCTCCTTTTTTTTTTTTTTCTCATTTGTGGGTCTAGAATTAAAAATGATTACACTTTGTTCTAATGTATGAAAAGCACATCGAAGTTATGAAAGCTAGGCATACATTTTCAAAATAAAATTAGTTTCTCCGAACCTAATACATTCTTCTTTGTGCCCCCCTTACGGATTTGGTATTTCATTCAAAAAGTGATACTTTCTTGAAAGTCACATAAACACTGAACGTGTTTTTCATGTGTGTACTACATATTGAAGCCCTTCTTTTAATTGTGGATAGATCTGAAGACTGAAAAAAAATATTAAAAGTTATTTCTGAATATATTAAAATGCATTGGCTAACTAGGCCAAATAACTGTTTAAATATTACCTTCCTTGAGTCTATCTATTGTTCTGCATTTTTCCAAATTGTACCACGCTAGAAAGCCTCTTAATATAACTGCTGTGCCCCAGAAAGTGTAGCATAAACTTGGACTAATTAGTCAATAGTGTCATTTTTCTCTGCAGATAGTTCCCAAACCTTTTGACACTAAACTTCAAAGAGTTTGCAGAATTAAAATGATAAAGAGAAATGTGATAATCATCATGGCAGAAATTTCATTATGAAATACTCCAACACTGTGAACCTGCCACTGATAGTTTATTTCTAAAAATCTGTCAGATGCAAAAAGCATTGCTTCGTATCTCGTGAAGTCACTGTACATGTGCAGGCAGGTTCGAAGCTTCACTATTTTAAGATTCCTGGAGATATAAGCAGCGAACAGACTTGACCTCTGCTCACATCATATGTGGTTCCAAAATCCTTGAATAAATACTTCCATGCAACAAGTTAGAAACAGGGGCAGGAAGGAAAGGAGGAAGAGAGTCAGTCTAAACTCAGTCTAATATTGTTTTTAAACACAGCTACTCTCTCTGCTTTTGCAAGTCAATCAGCAGGCTTTGTTTTTGTTCTTATTATTTACACAACACATTTGCACTGGCAAACAGAGAAGGACTTTTTTCAAAATATAGCGGTGCTTTTAAAACATGAAAGAAGACCAACCATTGTCCGATCGAAATGACACGTAGCTATGAGCGACCAGTCTTCAAGGACTGCAGCTCTGTGAGTTCCTGTGCAAGACAGGTGAATTAATTACAGAGTTTGGGGTTAGAAAATCCAGTGTTCCTGGTTTCCAATTTTTTTCCCCCCCAGTCTTGGGAACTGTCTGATCTCCGAGTCCTCTGGGCAAAATAAGCATTTCTAATCTGCTTTGGGGGCGAAAAGTGAACTTATTGAAAACCGCGCACCTCGTGGCAGCACTGTCTCCTCCACAAATCTGTTAGGCAGTACGGAGCCCCAGAGCGAAGGGACTATCATTCTTCTGCGATTTCGGACAGACTTAGCTCCCACTTGGAAAAACTGTCCTGGAATCGTCACTGTCTTTTCCTAGAAAGGGTCCCTTTTAAACAGAGAAATCACAACAATCAAGGCGTAAAAACACTTGGCTTACATGTGAGCTTTCCCCCTCCACAGAGTTTCTCGCTAGGCGTGGAATGGGGCTCGTCTTTTCACTCCTATCTCGTCGCTCAAGCGCGCGGAGATGCGTCCTAAATCCTCGAAGGGGAACTCGGAGCGCTCCGGCTCCCAAGTTCCCTGGAAGCTGTGGGGCTGGGGTGGAACGGGGGACGGGGGCGGCCGAGAGGGTCTGGGGCCGCGCTGGGGCCTCCGGGGAGGAGCGGGCCGGCTCCCCCACCGCTGTCCGTCGCTTCCCTCTGCCCCCTCCCTCCTCTTCCTCCTCCTCTTCCTCCTCCTCGTGGCGCGCCGCCTCTCCCCCACCCCACCCCCTCCACCCCCCACCCCCTCCGCGTCTCGCGCGCTCTCCGAGTCTCCGCTCCGAGTTCCTGGTTGGATAATTTGGGTTAATACTAGTGAGTGAGGTTTTTGCGGCTTCAAAGGGTATTTCAAGTTTCCGGAGCTCCTCCCCTCTTGCACCGTGTGACAACAACAACTCGTCCAGCCGGCAGCCTTGCACTTTTCAGCTCATTTTCTCTCTGTCATTCCGCTCTCAATCTTTGATCAATGTACTTGCCAGGGAGAACCCGAGTCCCTCAGTCCTCCTCCTTTGCACCTTCAACTCTGTGCTAGAGCGGGGACCCCCGCACCCCGGCAGCCGGCCCTCCCCGCCCCCGCCCGGCCTCCCCCACCCCCTCGCCCGGGCCCCCGGGGAGAGCGCTCGCCGTCCGACTCGCGGGACACTTTGGTGCGCCTCTCGGCGGAGCGCCGCTCGCGCTCGCTCCTTTTCCCCCCGTCTCGCCCTCGCTCTCCCTCGCCGGCTCTCCCGGAGTCGCAGGGGTCGCTGCCCGCCACCCCTCCCCACCCCTGCCCACCCTCCCGCCGCACACCCCTTCGCTCCGACTCCCCGCTCGTCTCCCTTTTCCCCTCCCCTCCCGGGGGGCCGTGTGGCAACTTTTTTTTTTCCCCCCTCATTCGCTTCTCTCCTCTTTCCCCTTTTTCCCCTCCTCCGTATATGTGACCATGGCAGTGCCGGCGGCTTTGATCCCTCCGACCCAACTGGTCCCCCCTCAGCCCCCCATCTCCACGTCGGCTTCCTCCTCCTCCGGCACCACCACCTCCACCTCCTCGGCGACTTCGTCTCCGGCTCCCTCCATCGGACCCCCGGCGTCCTCGGGGCCAACTCTGTTCCGGCCGGAGCCCATCGCTTCTGCGGTGGCGGCGGCGGTGGCGGCCTCAGTCACCTCACCCGGCGGCGGCGGCAGCGGAGGCGGCAGCGGAGGCACCGGAGGCGGCGGCGGCAGCTGCAACCCCAGCCTGGCGGCCGCGGGCGCCGGCGGCAGCAGCGGCGCCTCCAGCACCCCCATCAACGCGAGCACCGGCAGCGGCGGCGGCGGCGGCGGCGGAGGCAGCAGCAGCAGTAGCAGCAGCAGCAGCAGCAGCAGCAGCAGTAGCAGCAGCAGCAGCAGCAGTAGCAGTAGCAGTAGCAGCTGCGGCCCCCTCCCTGGAAAACCCGTGTACTCAACCCCGTCCCCAGTGGAAAACACCCCCCAGAATAATGAGTGCAAAATGGTGGATCTGAGGGGGGCCAAAGTGGCTTCCTTCACGGTGGAGGGCTGCGAGCTGATCTGCCTGCCCCAGGCTTTCGACCTGTTCCTGAAGCACTTGGTGGGGGGCTTGCACACGGTCTACACCAAGCTGAAGCGGTTGGAGATCACGCCGGTAGTGTGCAATGTGGAACAGGTTCGCATCCTGAGGGGACTGGGCGCCATCCAACCCGGAGTGAACCGCTGCAAACTCATCTCCAGGAAGGACTTCGAGACCCTCTACAATGACTGCACGAACGCCAGGTAAGGAGCGGGGGTGGCTCCCTGCGGCCCCGCGGCCCCTTCCCACCAGCAGTCCGCTCGCTCTTGCCTCGCGCTCCCTTCCCGGCGCTGCCCGTCCCGCGCGCCCGCCAGCCGCGCGCCCCGCCGAGCGCGGGCCTCTCCTCCCCTTCCTCAGGGCTCGCCCGCCGCGCCCGACCCCTCTGAGAAGTTGCCCCGCTCCCGGCTTTTCCGACGGTCAGCTCTCTAAGCTCGACCCGAGGGCCGGGGCTCAGCTTCCTTGAGACGCCGGGACCCCAACCCTGAGGGCAAAGTGGGCGGGAAGGGTCGGGGACGTCGCCTTTGCCGGAGCGACGGCCCCTTTCCCGGGACGCGCCGGTGTCTGGGGTGTAGGGTACCACCCTCCCACACCCCACTTCAAACTCCCAGAACGCTGCTGCCTGAGGCCGGTGCTCGGTGGCCAAGCTCCCGGCACCTCAGGGACTGCTCCGCCGGGCTCCCGGGGGCGTCCCGCGAGCTGGAGAAGCTCGTGACCCTGTGTCCTAGGGTTCGGGGATGGGGAGACGCTCTTCGGCCCCAAGGCCCTCGGGGAAGCCGGGGGTGGGGGGAGGGGTGGGCCTGGGATGAGGTAGGGCACTTTGAGGTCAGGAGGGAGGCGACCTCGTGGCCCAGAGGCCCCGGGGGCAATCCCGGGGGACCCGCTGAGAGTTGTGCCCCAAGCCGGGAGGGAAGCCCGCCGAGGGGAGAGGGGTGTGTGTGTGTGTTTGTGTGTGTGTGGGGGGGGCGCGCACATGTGTGCGTGTGCCCTCGAGTGGTGGAGCGTGTGCAAAGAAAAGGGCTGTGTTTGCCCCGGAGAGTTGCAAGGGCACCCGCAGGTTTCTCTTTCTGAGGGGACAGATGCTTAAGTGCAGGAGACTTGGAAGCTGAATTGCACAAGGAGGAAGACCGCTGGGCTCGCGCACTCTCCGTATCCCTCTTTCTCTCCAAAGTGTGTGTGTGTGTGTGTGTGTGTGTGCGCGCGCGCGCTTGCGCTTTTGCGTACGTTTTCAGTTCATTCTTTTCTTTTTCTAAAGATTAGTGTAGTGGCTCACACGGGCAGGTGCACGCTTTGCACTGGGATGCTCTGCGGGCCCGAGTTCTCGGTGCTGCGGCTCCCCCAGCCCCTGCCCCGCGCGCAGGGAGGGGGCCTCGCCGGCGCCCAGCCCGGCTGGTTTTATGCAAATGAATGCTCGGTGGGGGAGGATCTACCGGGAGGGGGCGGGAGAGGGGCAACTTGTTTCGGGGTCGTAGTGGCCTTTTCACCCCCTTTTAGAGTTCCCCTTTGTCCTACCATTCGAAGCTGAGAAGGGCGGGGGGGGGGGGGGGTGGGGGGCGGGAGAGAAAGTTGATTGTAGAGAGAAAGCAAAGCCAAAGTTGGGGACCTGGAATAGACACGTGAGAACTCGGCGCAAAATTTGCGCAGAAACTTTGGTACCCTCCAAGTAAGTTCACAGGCAGAAAGATGAGTTCCTGGTGAAGCTAGAGGACCTAAGGTGAGGCCGAAGGACCAGACCAGGACCCTGGAAGAGAGAGGGTACTAGCTAAGTCTTGCTGCAGAGCGACTTCTCTTCTGTAGTGGTATAAGGCTTTAAAAAGAAAAGAACTGGTGTTCTAAACCAGCAAGTGTCCTATCTTGACCTTACCAGAATTTCTATTTCGAGTTTATTGGCCATCGTTTCCGTTGGCACATCAGGTGTACCTGACTTTTTTTTTTTTTTAATTTGAACCTTCGTTTGGATTATTCTGGAATGAATGCTGAGTGTATGTGTGTACATGCATGCGTGTGTGTCCAAGTAATTGGACAGGTGGCAGCAGAGATGGATCGGCAGGACCAAGGTCACCAAACATCATTTGGAGTCCTTGCATGTCCAGATTAAGATATTTGCCCCAAATCTATTGTTGAAACATTTGAATCAGGACAGGAAAAGTGTTCCGGAGTTGTTATGAAGAATGAATGTTACGTGGAATGTGAAGCCAGCCCAGATGGGATTATTGTAAAGCGATCTGCCGATCCGTAAATTAGTGAAATGCTTTGCCAATGTGGTTCTTTGAAGAACTGGAACATGCACTGTACTTGAATCCTCTTTGTGTGTTTGTTACAGCACACACTGCTGTACAAAATCAATGGCTGTTTTACACACACACACACACACACAGAGTTGTTGAAAAAAATCTCACACTAATTGCAGTCTAATCAATGTAAGACTTAATTTTTCATATGTTGCACTCAAGTTTTCCCTACACTTGGAAGCCTACATTTGTCATATGGCTGGAAAATAGACTTGAAAGTTATTTTAATACTTTTGGAAGTTTCCTCCCACGTTACCAGGTTAACATAGATATTGAGTCTCGTAGAGCCAAGGGAAGTTAAATTCTTCGGAACTGTTGATCCTTTCAGTAGTGTCGCCTCACTTCTGTGCGTATCAATTACTCGGCCTCAACACTCTGCAGTTGTATGTGTTGTTTTCAAACCCTAATCCTAGGTCGCTTTTCTGCTAAATATTGATAAGTTGTTGATACTCGAGGTCATTTTGGTCATATTTCAACTACACAACTTGGGCAAAGCTGAGTATCTACCAAGGGCGTCGCTCCTAACAGGGATGGGTAGTTGCAGAGGCACGCCTAGGTTTGCGAACTGCAACAGACTAAGGAAATAGAGGCTGGGTACTGAATTCTCCCCCACCTAATGCTGTTTGTATTGTTGCACATTATTATTTTCAAGAGGATTACAAATATTGCTGTCTTAGTTCTTTACTTGAAAAATGATACAAGTGTTTTGCTTCCTGAATTTACTAAAACTAAAATGACTTTTTTTTTTTTTTGGTATTTCAGACTAGTTTATGTCAGTGGTTTTAAAATTCTTTATCCTGTATCTAGATATATTCATTTCCTTCTGCAGACCTTTCTTTGTAAAACAACAGGGGAATAATATATACACAATATAACAAGAACCACACAGGAAGGCAAACTATATAAAACTATGTATATATATATCGCTGGCCTATGGGGACAGTAACTATTTGTGTGTGTGTGAGAGACTCTGTGTGTGTGTGTGTGTGTGTGAGAGAGAGAGAGAGAGAGAGAGTGGGGGGGGGAGAATCACATCTTAGCACTCTGTTTTCATAGAACATATATCTAACTATTTCTCCCAGATGCCAGGAAATCCAAGAAATCAAAGTGATGCTAAAGAAAGATTCATAAACTTGCTCAAAGTGGCTCAGTAAGTTAGTAGGAACCTTAGAATGAATTTAATTTGCTTGGGGCTATTGCATTAGTATGCTATCTATGAAAACTAGCGTAAATGTTGAAGCCATCTGTCATGACCACAAGGAGATGAAAATGAGATTATCAACCAGATATTAACGCTGTAAAATAGAGGTCTCAAAACATGAAAGAAAATGTAAAGAAATATGTTTAAGGGTTGTCAAAGGGTAAAATCTGACCTTCACCAGCTTCCTTTAAGTATTATTAATTTTTTTTTTGTTAAACTAAGCATTAGTTGTATCAACTGGGCTGTTGCAACAGAGGTCAGTTAATTAACTGCTAACCATTAAATACCAACGAAAAAAGTAATTATGTAAGTGATCAAGTTTCAGTTTTTGAGTCAATTGATTGTTTGTAGATTTGAATTAGGATTCACTTTTCTGTGAATTCAGTTAATAAAAACTGACCCTGTTCTCTTAGGTTATCTATACACTTTTTTTTGTCAGAAGATGATTTTGTATCTTTGAAACCCGATAGTGATTTAGATCCTCTGTGGCCTTACACTTGAGATTTTAAAAAATTTGACTGGATCCCAGTTGATTCTATCAGATATTTAATATGCACATGCAGATATTCACGCACAGTAGTCTTTTGTCTTAAAAGTCAATATCATCCATGGCAGATAATTGATAGATGCTCCAAGCCTTTTATCTTTCAGTCGGAATATATGAGTGTATTTTACATTTCAGTAAGATGTGCAAAAATATTATCTTTTTTGTACGGGCTTTTAATAAAGATTGGAGGCCGAAGCAGTCTTTATTTATTAAGCATTTCCCTTGTAGCTTGCTTTTCAAAGGCACGGACTTAAGCACTGATACAGAAAGTTTCAACACAAACACAGATTCACTTATTTCTAACAGATAATTATGGACTTGGAACCGAGAAATGGAAGAATTACTTCAAATGAAGAGAGTCTTTGCTTTTGAAGTTTTTGTATTACAGTAGATTAATGGTTCCTATAAAGCCTAATGTCTCATTTTATAACATTTCAAAAAGAATGTGGCATAATTAGAAGACTAAGGCATAAAATATGAAAGTTCATTCGATTCTACAGCTTATTCTGTGTGGTTAAAATGTGAGCAAGTTGCTGTTTACCTTATCTGTTTTAGTTACATTACAGAACACAGATTTTTGAATTGCTAGGATAATATTTTTGAAATCTGTAGTTTTTTTCTGGCAGTGTATCTCCAATAATATCATCATTTTTAATTGTCAACAGTGCATATGGTTATGCAAATACTTTACTTTTTGAAATCTGCAGTTTACAAGTGATTGCTCAAGGCAAAAATTTTGATTTTTACAAATGGCATTTTATCCTGGGAAATTTCAAACATTAAAGGAAGCTCCAAAACAAGTTTTTTTTTGTTTAAACCCCTGGAGTTTTTTTACACACTATTTGTTGCTATTTCATACAGAATTGAAAAATCTTTATTAAACAAAAATTGCTGTTACTTCTTATTTGATCTATTACATTTTGCCAAAGTTGTAAATAATTGCTGAGACAAATATTAGCCACCCTCTTTTTTCCTTTACTATTTCCCCAGCTCCCTGAGATGTGACATCCAATATTGATTAAAGTCTTGGCAGGATCTGAGCATAAATCACTCCTCTCTTTGACTATTTACTACCTGAGACTCACCAGCGTATGAAGGCATAACATGCTTCTTTGTTTCTCATTTGATGTTTTGTTTAGGCGTGCAAGCAGCATTTTTGAATTTGCT